CGGCAGAAGCGCATGCTTGGACAGCCGAGGAGAGAGATGTTGGCCTCAAGGCATTGGGCCGTGTGTATGCTGGATGGTAAGAAATTCCGTGTTAACCTTTAGCTTTTATCCCCTATCTAACCCATTCGCCACAGGGGATTTAGCCAAGCTTTCTATCGACACAAGCTGTATGAAACCACACTAGGTTTCAAGGGACTTGATGACTTCATGGTCAACTTCTGGGAGAAATGGGCTTGTTCTAAAGGTGATGTTTGATCCCAATGAACGAGTTGTATCAGAGAACTGACAGATACTTTAAAGAACCCGAAAATATGCTAGTCATGTTGCAGACATGGCAAATTGGTGATGTCTCGCAGCAAGATCCATACAATGGGGACTTTGAAAAGGCGATGGGATCCATCAAAGCAAAAGCCCTGGTTTTGCCGTCAAAAACTGACCTTTACTTCCCGTAAGTTGAAATCTTCTATTTTACCTTTGGGGTGATATGAGACTAAACTGAGAATCACATCATATTAGGCCTGAAGACTCGGAGTATGAGGTTGCTTGTATGAAGCCAGGCATTGGAACACTGGATATCTTCCCTTCTATATGGGGTCGTGAGTATATCATTTCAATTTTTAAATACACACAAAGCTAACCCAGTAGATAGATTGGGCAGGAGGTCCAGGCGATAGTACAGAGGATGTTGAATGGCTTGATAACAAGCTCTCGCAATTTTTTGCAGACAACAAAGGTGATGGCGTCAATTATTTGGCCGAGAAGCTCCAAAGCACACTCAATTAGATTGTAAACCACAAAATATAGCATTCCAATGTGAGTTCAGTTATAAATGAGATCTCTTGATGAAAACAGTAATGTTGTCTTGTCGTCGCCTAAAAGAAGTAGATTGTTACTGATCATGTGACGCTGAGTAAGCGCCGGCCCTGGCCCTGGAAGCGCTGATGAACCTTGCGCGGCGAACAACTTCCTTCTCCAATTCCATTCCTCTCCCTGTTTCTTCCTTCTCTTCCCGTTTCGCTCAGAGAATTGTATTTATCCTTTTCAAGCAGCACTTAATTTTCTTCCTCGGCTGCTTGCCTCGGGAGCTTGTCGCCAACGCTGCGCTCGTTATCTAATCCCTATCTTCACACGGCTTGTGAGACTTGGTAGATCTCGAATCTTACGATCTCGGCTTCCTCCCCACAATGGCTACGCCACCTGTCCGACAGTGGGGTGTTACACCCCCGATCTCGACCGTCCTGCCGACCAAGGATGAGCTTGCCGCAAATGATGATCTCATTGCCGAGCTCAAGGCTCAGAACAACTTCGAGCTACCGACGGAAACGGAACGGAGGTGTGTTCGAATCTCAACAAGGAAAGCGCTAGAGCGCCGAGACTGATAATCGCGGGATAGAAAACAAGTGCTCCAATTACTCCAGCGCGTCACAGTGGAATTTGTTCAAGTCGTCAGTCGCAAAAAGGGTCTGTCTCCTGCTGCTGTTGAGGCTTCTGGGGGTAAAATCTTCACGTATGGAAGTTATAGGCTCGGTGTATACGGACCAGGTAAGTGTTCAGCTATGTATGGATCCAAGCTCTCATGCCCATGCTGACGATGATGCTTTGTAGGCTCCGATATCGATACGCTAGTCGTTGGGCCTAAACATGTCCTAATCGATGATTTCTTCGCTGAATTTCCCCCTATACTCGAAAGAATGGCCTCCGAGGGAGCCATCGAAAAGATGACCCCCGTGCCGGATGCGTTCGTTCCAATTATCAAGCTTGAGCTATGTGGAATCAGTATCGATCTGATCTTTGCCCGTCTTGTCGTTCCCGCTATCCCAATGAACCTGGATTTGAAGAATAATGATTATCTCAGAGGACTGGATGAACGAGAGGTGCGATCGCTAAATGGAACTCGTGTCACAGATGAAATACTGGAGCTTGTCCCCCAACAAAAGACATTCCGCCTTGCATTGCGTGCAATCAAACTCTGGGCCCAGCGTAAGTGCACTTAGTCCTTTGTTTATCGCTATCCAATTTATCTGATTATTTCTATAGGACGGGCGATCTACTCGAACATTGTCGGATTCCCTGGTGGTGTCGCATGGGCGATGCTAGTGGCTCGAGTTTGTCAACTATACCCGCAAGCAACTGGCTCTGTTATTGTGGGAAAGTTTTTCAGAATTATGAACAAGTGGAATTGGCCTCAGCCTGTCTTATTGAAACCGATCGAGGATGGACCCCTTCAGATAAAAGTCTGGAACCCAAAGGTAAGCGCAAAGCATCGCTTTCGCCGACGACGTAGGCTAAGAACTATCAGATTTACCATGGTGATCGATTCCACCTTATGCCAATCATCACTCCTGCGTATCCCTCCATGTGCTCGACTCACAACATCAGTCTGTCCACCAAGGCTGTTATTCTCAGGGAGCTACAGCGAGGTGGCGATATGGTCGACAAGATCTTCATGAAGCAGCTCTCGTGGAAGGATCTATTTGCGCGCCACACATTCTTCACCCACGATTACAAGTACTATCTCAGCATCACCGCTTCTAGCAAGACCAAAGAGGCCGAGTCCGTGTGGTCGGGTCTCGTGGAGTCTAAGCTGCGTCACCTTGTTGGCGCTTTAGATCGCAAGCCAATTGTTGCAGTGGCCCATCCATTCCCCAAAGGGTTTGAAAGGATCCATCGCATCACGAGCGAGCAAGAAATGGAAGCAGTCAAGAATGGGTCTACGCAATATCAGGCTAAAGGCACAAAGACCGCGATGACCGATGAGACTAAAGATGCTGCTCACCAAGCCGCAATCCAGAACACCCTTGAAAATGCTGAGGTCCCAGAGCCGGCTGTGGGCACGGTCGATGGCACGGTCGACAAAGATGGCCAGACTGTGTACACAACGACTTATTACATCGGCCTGGAGCTGAAACCTCTGGAGCCAGGTAATCGCATCGCTCTCCCTATTTGACATTTCTAACTTTTTTTTCTCAAGGCCAATCGCGATCTCTGGATATATCAACCGACTCACAGATCTTCAAGTCAACTTGCACCTCATGGCCAGGATACCAGGAAGAAGTCATGGAGTTGGCCGTCACCCATGTTCGCAGGCAAGTTTCTCCTCTGCCTGTGACTTGTGCCAATTTTATCTAACGCCCTCTAGTTTTGATTTGCCTGATGATGTCTTCCAGCCCGGTGAGACCCGAGCCTCTCGACCAAAGAAGAAAGTTGCCAAACGGTCAGAGACAGCCGGCCAGAAACGCAGCATTGGCGAGTTGGACGTAAGTGTGCAGAAGCGAGTGCGATCAGCCTAATTTGGCGAAACGGAATCCACGATCCAACGCCCTGCGAGACAAACCCCCCTAGGATGTCGACAAGTTAGAATAACTAATGCCACCTTCCGATTCCCAGGGTTCAACTGAAGGAGCCGCAAAACGCCAAGTTACCTCCGCAACTCCCGCCTGAACGACCCCCCACTCCTTGGCTCCCTCCATCCCGCCGGGGCTGGTCCCCAATATCAAAGTGATATTAGAACCTCAAATTGCCTGTGGTCTCTGACCTAATATTGCAGCTTGCAGTTCTATCTCCAACCAAACATCTAACTTCTCGCCATCTTTGAGTGTTACACCCTTCTCTATAGTGAACGTTCCGTGCTCTCGAAGCATAAGGTTGGTTCGTTCTTCTCTTCGTCTCTTGTCTTCTGTCTTTTGCGTTGCTTTCCCAACAACTAGACTAGACACCTTTCTTTTTCCCTGCCCTTTGGCATTTCACTTCTTACTGGGCCTATTCACCACAGAGCATATGTATATGGGCCGGATTTATCCTTTATTTCGTCTATTTGATTGGTGTAGTATTTTGTTGTCGGTGGAACAGGTGGTTTCCCTCTGCCCAGTTGGGCGTATTCATTCGCCACCTTGCAGATAGTTCAGATAGTTGAATGGAAGGACGTGTCCCACAGTATGTGGGTTACACATAATCCACAAATTATCTTTGCCTTTGTCAATTACATCTTCGTAATATCGCACTTGGCTATTTTCCTTTTGGCTATAAACAATGAGGAGATCCCAATTTTGCATGCCCGCTGGCCGTAGAGAGGTTACCTCTACCACTATTCCATTTCATTATCGGTGATCGTGGATTTCTTTTCCCCGGGAATTTGACGATATTAACGCTGCTACCTCTATATATGCAATGTCCGTCCTGCCAGAGTATTTGAGCCATATTGCATTTAGCACGGCTATTGTTGTCCGGCGCCTTTTCTTCTACTAACCCACCTTTTACCGTTATGTATCAAAGCCATGACTAGAATGCATACCCAAATAGTGCAAGTTATTGAATTATCTTCAAAGAAAAATATATACATTACACATCAAGATTGGGGTGGTTATGGTGTGGGGTATTATTCTCTACTAGTTAGTTAACATGGCATGTTGGCGCCTGATAAACAAAGGCATCAATATATGTCTCGATGGTATTTGGACTTTCCTACATGTATCTTAGCCGCTTTTATGAGGCCCACAGTCAGGCCCAGGTACTCGGGAATTCATCAGAAAGATCAACCACTCAGTCTATGCCCAGGCTATTTATATGAAGCATTACAGTAGGCTTCCCGATGAATTGTACTTTATTGAAGGTGCCAGGTTTGACTAGCCCTGAAGGATCTAATGCCCTATGATAAGGGCCAGCGCTACTAATTTCTCAACATGGGGTAAGAACACCTATTACGGACAATTCGTACCTGCTACTTTTTGGCCTCGTTTCATCAATTCTTCTAGGTAGGCTAGAACTGCCCCCGAAGCCGCCATGGCTAGTACTACTTTATGTGACTTACCTACGGAGCTCATATTACTTTTTGTCGACTACCTTGACTACCCCTCATCTGTTGCAGTTTCACACACAAACCAAAGACTCAGGTCTATTGTTCCGATAGAGCCACCCACGACAGCGAAACAGAAACTAGCATTTCTATGTGCTATAGAGTTGTGGCCAAAGCAAGTACCACCCAGGACGAAGGCTTCGATAGTTCAATTTTCCCAGTTACTGATGATTCCAGATATGCTCAACTCTTCTCCTGCAACATATGCCTTAAACTCCGGCCCCGGACTGAATTTACCGACAAGCAAATCAATGGCCAGAAGCGCGAGAAAGGTAATACCGAGACCGCCCGTCGGTTCTGCGTCGATTGCGGCTGCCGCGCCGGAAGATATCAAGCAGGTGTTACTGTCAAGGTGAATGGGCGGAGCGAAATCCTCTGCATTGAATGCCGAGAGAGGAGTGGAGAAAAACTGTATTGCACGTTTTGCCGCATGTGCCAGCATTGTTTGGTAAAGCAATACAGACTGCGTTTACGTTTACCCTCTACAATCTCACCGATTGAAGTGGGAGGGCCTAGCTGTCCTCGATGCAAGCGCGAGAGGTTTTAAGGAAAGCCACCACGCTGATTTCATCTTGAGGACATGTTGATGGCGACGAAAATGGGTGGCTTTGAGGATACTTATAGGTTTGTGGGGAGCCCCGAGCGGGTTGAAGAGGATATTGGTCACATGAATCTCTAGGGACATGGCTTTAGTTGGAATCTTGGCTCTTGTCTGAAATCAGGAGTAGGCTGCCGTGAGCAAGGTAATCCAAGTCACTGTTTCTACCGTCCGATACTCATTCAATTCGGTCTTCTAACTATCGCTTGGACAAAAGAATAAAAATGCTCACATGCCGATCTGGACGACAGACCTGGTGATAGACTAGAGATTTGGTGCAGCAAAAAATTGGGTGATTTAAACTAAACAAGCTAAGGTCTGGAGAAGGGAGGCTTTTCACCGAATGCTGCTCAAAAAAAAAGTCAAAGCACACTCGCTCCTCTATATAATTAGAGGTCACTCTCAGCCAGGAACCTTGGTGTAAGGATTGTCAAGACAAAAAAGAATAAAAAGGAAATGCTCACACTCGGAGTCGAACCGAGGATCTCATCATTACTAGTGATGCGCTTTACCACTAAGCCATGCGAGCTTGTTATGTGTGAGGGAAGCTGGAATTGAATCTCATTTCTTTTTCAATTTTTCAACTAATTGACTTTTCGTATATTGAAATTGAAGAGTTTGAATCTTCTTGCTCCTACGTAATGCAAGATTCTGAGAGAACAACCCTTCTTTTCCTTTGCCTTTTACTGTGGGGTAACCTTTCTTTTTCTTCCTTCTTTTTCATAGCTAAAAATATGAAAGGACGGGAAAGGAATAAACCCTAGAGATCTTTTCCATGTACGGAGAGTACCCTCCAATGGCACTTTGTTCGGTATTAACATGACCCTCTCCGCTGTGGCTGCCAGCGCTAGTATGGGGAGCACCAGGATCTACATAAGTAGGGATGTATGGGCCATCCCTCTTTAGTGTGGAGTGGGACAGCCAGCGGCCAACGGCCAACGAGAAACTAGCGTCACTTACCATGGCCCACATCGACAAAAAAAAAAACATAATTCTGAGGAATGAAACAAAGGCAAAAAATGCTCACACTCGGAGTCGAACCGAGGATCTCATCATTACTAGTGATGCGCTTTACCACTAAGCCATGCGAGCTGATTGGATGCTACAGTGTTCATTCTTTGCTACATGAGGCTAAACGTGCCAACGATCCACACTACCTGTTAACAAGATATACTTGAACTCTGCCACAAACCGTTCGCCATTGGATGCATGGCTTAGACCTTCGTCTAGTTCATCTTACGTTCTTCAGAGATAACTGCCATTTCTTTAGCAGCTGCCACTTAGGAAAACCGAATATAGAGTTTAAGATGTGCAGCTCCTGGTGAGAGCTGAAAAAACATGCCGATTCAAGATATCAAAGAAGAAAAATACATTTTAAGAAGTTAATAGGCACTCTGAGAATTGCTGGAAGACCATGACGTTTCGTGCGACAGGGATGCTCGTATTATATTACGATTGATAGCTATCAAGTCACTCTTCTGCCCCCACATCTTTTTTACCCTTTATCCCCATCTCCAAGCTACCTGCCATGGATTTATCAATGGAATATCTCACCGATCTTAAAGGAACACAGGTCACGTTTAATGCCGTTACCGAACCACTGTTCAATTTCCCTGCCCAGGCATGGATAATATTTAAGAAGCTCGACGAAGAGTCGAATCGCCTGACAAAGGAAGACAGCGCCGCGGGGCTCGGGCCCTCAGACACCTCCGGGAAGTTCCTATGCCGACCTGCTAGTAAGGAAGACGATAATAGGCGCGCATTTTTGCGCATTTACTAACAGGTTCCTATAGCTGGAACTGAACCGAAGAAGGCTGCTATACGGGTTAGCCAGGCCGTTGACACCCCTCCTGACCACCTAGAACTAATTGCTTTCCGGACATTTATAAAGCTGGACTATAACGTTATTCCTCGACTATTAGGCTATTAATAGCGCCAGCAAGACCATAACGAGGGTGTTCCTAGGGGATACATTACGTACATTCTATGGGGAAAAGTCCCCGGCGAGTCTCTTGATTTAACCGAATTCTAGAGGCTCCCCTTTACCGATCGCTAGGCTATCCGCGATAATTTTCGCTAAGTCTACACTACACGTATGATTATCTAGTGACCACAGTGAAATATTAGGCTAATAAAGAGTAGAAAGTTTTTACTATGCGGGTATATGCCATACATGGCTAGTCTATCAAAGGTTATTCATAATAAGTCTAGTGGTTAAATATGTGTCTATGCAAGATTATCCATATGGACTATGATAATTCAGCTATCTGTAGGCACATCTGCGGATTTAAACTTATATCTCCGTTTAACAAACCTTAACAGTGGGGTGATATTAACTACTTCTACTACGGACTCATCCAACCCTCCGATAGCTGATTCGACTGGGGAGGTACACCACCCGAAATGGCGGATTGGATCGAGGATATTAACGGCTGGACGTGGTGAATATGGAAAAAAAACCACAGCGGGATACAGTGTGAAGTATGATCCGCCATCTTGCTCCGTCTTGGCTGGCTTAGTAGAAAAATATGAACCAAGGGATACTGTAGGTGCAATAAAGGCGATGTCAGATGTTACATGCAATTTATTGAAGTCTATCTTCATTGCCAAGTTTAGCTCTAGTTACCGTATGATCATAGGCGTAGGTCAATTGTACGCACACATTGTCTCAGGTTATTTCTGGTATGACTGTATTTGCTATACACGAAAGTATTTTGGCAGCGTACTATAATCAACGCCATCTGATCCATTGACTGCGAGGAGTGGGATTGGCAATTGGCCCCTGGGCTTCAGCAACGGTGGCAATATACAGAAGAGATTGATTGAAGGTCAACACAGGTCCAATAGACTGATTTACGGGGTCTGGAGGCGCATATCTGACGGATGATTTGGTGGCCGGGGCATCAATATATCCGGTCTCAATGCAGTATTCGCACGGGATGCCTGACAATGCACTCTAGTCACAGGATCCACCACTACAATACCTGTTTATTCTGGTAATGGTGCTAAAGTAGATTTGGTCAGTGCTGTATGCGGTGATCTATCACGAGCCCTCGGTGAAAAGACCACGATTTTCCCTTGGAAGACCACGCATAATCGTGGCCTTTTCACCGTCACCCCGACTTACACCACAGTACGTAGATCTCAAAACGTTAATGTGGATCACCTCCACCTGGGTTTTATTGGTCAGTGGTTAATCAGAACGAATTTCAGAAAATGATAATCCAATATCGTTCAGTTATTGTAGACCACTTTCTTTTCCGAGGATATGGGCCAACTTCGAATACGAATTAAGGTCGCCTTTTACTTTCCTTCATAAAGCAATCATGGACAAATTCAACCAATCAAAGCTCGCATGGCTTAGTGGTAAAGCGCATCACTAGTAATGATGAGATCCTCGGTTCGACTCCGAGTGTGAGCATTTTTTGCCTTTTCTGTGTATGAATGTATCTCGATTCGCACGGTGTACTTTCTTTTTGCCCTTTCCACCTCCAAAGTAAATAATGCGCTAATTGCATAGGTCGGTAATCTATAGGCATTACCTTCAGGTACCGTAAGGTCTGGAAAATGGACCTTGAAGTGTATTGATGAATGAATGTAGGGGCTATTATATATATATATACACTATGGGTGAGATGAGATGAAAGTCCTGACCTTTATGCTTCTTCGTTCGATGAGACTTATATTATAACTGGCTGGCATTAGATGCACAGAGGAGCTGGCTCCATACGGTCGTGAAAGTAATGGTGGTATATCGCCTATCAGACCGTTACACCGTAGGATTATATAGGATGGTGTCTTTGTTGAAATAAACCTATTTGTTTCTCGTAAGATATCTAAAAGACATAGAGTGAAACAGAATGTACTGTATGTACAATTTTTACTCGGTATAAGCCTAATAGATATAGTCTCGTGTCCACGTATATCAAGGCATTTCAATAGAAGGCCGCTTTCACGATATGTTCGTCGACGAGACGTCTTTCGCTGATTAGACTATTTATTACTAGGAGCGTGGCTATATTAAGTTTAAGGAGGTGGTCATCTTCCCACTCGAGCTATCCTAGGACTCCAGGCCCCTGCCATTAAGCTTAATCATGGTACGGTGCATATATATATATGCAGATTGTGAGCCGATCCGCGGACAACTAACATTATATTAATATGCCCAAGCATGCATACGTCTTGAATTTATTACAGTGACTAAGTGCATAATTGCAATTTCCCAAAGCATGTATATACCCACAATTAGTGGAATAATGGCCGTTGCAAAGGACCCAAAAATCCCAATGCGGACATATAAGTGGGCCTTGCCCTAAAAGTTTGCCTCCACTTATGATGCACATTTACCCATATTCTCACAACAACTGGCCGGCTGGCCCAATGGCAAGGCGCTTGACTACGAATCAAGAGATTGCAGGTTCGATCCCTGCGTCGGTCAATTTTTTTGGTTTCCTGGCTTTTTCCTGGCTTTCTTTTGCTCCATTGTTGGCCGAGATGTCGAAATGGTGTTGAACTACATCGGAGGGTGGTGTGGCTGAGTGGCGTTCTTAGTTTTTGGGAGTGATTGTTGAGTTACCAAGAGCAAGAACAAAATTGAATCATGGGAAATGAGGTGGGTGTCTTCATCGTGTTCAGATATATGGAATATACTGAAAGTTTGGTATTGCACCACCGAGTGGCGTGGGGGGTCGATATATGTTCCGTTATTGTAGAACTTCCGAAAATCATATTGTAAGATGGACTATTATTGCCAAAAATGTCTTCGGAGCGCCTTTGGCATACCATTAGCTGTTAGAGTTCCATACGCAAATGGGATTACTGTAGCTAACAATGATGGTGAGAGTTATATTTGTGGATTCATACCTATAGTTGTCGCCAGGCGTGATGTGTTATTGAAAGAGAGAGGCTTATTGGCCCTCATCCACTACTCCAGATACAATAACCGCCGATTCTTCCGAATGGCAATTGGGGTAGAAGGCAGAGTCCACAAAGAACCATCCTAGCACATTAAGGATCATGAAGATATCTTTGATTTTCCCAGAGGCATAAAAAGGATGGATCTACATAGATTGGTCAGGATATACCTCTTATAACGTTGCCAATCCCGTTTATCAAGACATGAAAAAGTTATGTACCTCAGCCAATAGCCCCGCTGGAATTCGATGAGCGCTTTAGCCCCTGCACCAGTCCCCAAAGCGTGCACAGGATGACAATGAAGTGACCGAGACGGAGAAGTTTGAATGCGATATCAGCACTCGGTCGTTGAGCCCTGCTCGTTAAACAAACTATTCTGTACCTTTGGATAGCCCTCGACCAATCCAGAAATATATTAGTTTTCAGAAACATTACAGTGGATGGATAGATAACTTTATTTGTTCAGTATAGTGATATTCCCGACGCGAAAGTTTGCTTAGCCCTATTTCTCTCGTTATCACTGCAGCATAGTCGAACCGTGTCCGTTGTCACAGGGCATTCCAACCGAACAACATAACAGGGAAACAGCAATCTTAATAGTAAGCTGCTTTCAAGTCTAATCCTATTTACTTGTATCTTTCATTATATTAACGTGCCAGAATGGACAAGAAGAAGATACTACTTATCTATGACCTGGCTAGTGATTGATACAGATGTACTATTTGGGTAGAACGGCCCAAGCATCCAACATTTCAAGAAACAAACAGAAGCCCATGTGTATAATAAGTAACCCAAGTAAACATACGACAAATGCAGCAATAAAGCACTTATAAAAAAAGGGAAGTACACGAGTAAAGAACGGTTGGTAGTCTGGGCACGCCCTTAGTTTGACAAGCACTCACACCACCTGACTGTTCGGGCGAAGGATAAGCGGTATCCAGAACTCTCGGGGCCGCATTCCGACCTCGAGGGGCCATCCATATAAAACCAGTGTTAATCCGCATTGACCAGAACAGTAATTTTGCTTTTAAACAACCCGAATTCCAAAATCCCCTCCCACCCCCACAACATGGAAATCCCACAACCCCTCCAATCACCAGGCCCCATCAGACCGATAACTTGTGTCGAAATGCACACGGCAGGCGAGCCGACACGAATTATTTGGAACGGTATCCCACATTTAACGGGTACACTCCTTGAACAACGAGCGCAAGCAAAAGCGCAGTTCGACGAATTCCGCCGCGTTCTCATGCTTGAACCGCGCGGCCACTACGACATGTACGGCGCGATCTTACGCCCAGAAACCGAGCTCGTAAGCTCGGGAAAAGCCCATATGGGCGTTCTGTTCATGCACAATGAAGGGTTCTCGACTATGTGCGGACATGCGACGATCGCGCTGGGTCGGTTCCTCGTCGATGTTGACGAGAAGGTGTTTCCTCATCGCAAGGAATTAAAATACGATTCCGTGTCCCAGACAACGACCCTTAACCTGCATGTACCCTGCGGGGTGGTCGAGATTACTGTTCCTACCCTGGTGTGTGGGAAGTCGGATGCGTCGCGGCCTGTTTCGTTCGTGTCGGTGCCGTCGTTTGCTACGGCTATCTCCTTGCAGGTCCCTGTGCCTGAGAAATATCGTTGGGCTGAGCTTCGTGGCAAGACTGCTGTTACGACGGACTTTGCTTATGGGGGTGCGTACTATTGTATGATTAGTGCCGAGGAATTGGGATTCCCTAGTGGTCTTGGTGAGGCCAAGTTGCAGGATATGGATCGTGCGACGAAGTTGCTCAAGGAGGCGGTGGTTACAAATCCAGATTTGCAGTATCTCACTCAGGATATTCGAACTGCCGAGGAAGGGTTCTTGTACGGTATTATGATCACGGATACCCGACTGGGGCATGTTAGTGCCTCGGAAGGGACGGCAGCTGCTCGTGCGCAGCTCGATGTTAGTAGCGAGGAGACAGGGCTCTGTTTCTTTGCAAACCAGCAGATTGACCGATCTCCTACTGGAAGCTGTGTTGCTGCGCGGGTGGCTCTCGCACATGCCAAAGGATCTCTGTCTGGGGGTGAGAAGAGGATCTATAACTCTCTAGTGACTCGTACATATAGAGGTCTTTCTGGGTTTGTTGGATCTGTCTTTGATGATGCTGGCACAAGTGGAGGAGACCAGCAGAGTGTTCGCGTCCGCGTCGAGGGATATGCGTATTATACCGGATATCATTCCTTTGTGGTAGAGAAGGAGGATGGCCTTGGGGTGGATGGATTCTCTGTCAGGGATATTGCTTTTTAGTGGCCGTTTGGAGTAGTGCAAGATAATTTTCATACCTGTGTTTGTCCCGTGAACATCAATTGAAGTATGTCTACCTGGATTCTTTGGGGAATGGGATTGTGGCCAAGCTGGCGACATGGCGCTGTCACAGGCGACAAAGGCGCCGCCTACCACAGGACCTCCTCTTTTTATCGTAAAGGCCTACCGTTCGTTTATAGCCGTGATATGGCTTTTTCTTTGCTCTCCCTTTCTGTCTACCCCGGGTTATTTGCTCTAGACGTCTAGACGCTCCACCCTCCCCAGGTTAACAAGGAAACACACTCCGATGCTGATATGTATGACTAATTAGGTCTATTATTAGATCCTGTCTCATTGCTGGTCGCGCAGATTCCAACCATCATCGCTCAAACTGTTACTTTACGAAAGAAATGGAAATAATTGTGAAATGACAAAAAAGCGAGCTTGTTCTTGAAAGGAAACTGAGACAAAATATTGTACATCGTGTGTGGGGGATGGACAAGGCGTAAAACAAAAAGAATTCTAAGGGTAGTCTCTATAATCCTCCCGAGCATATTAGACTCGAGTCATTTATTTACCGATCTCAACACCGCCAGTGGCACCGAGCATGCGCTTGATGTCACCGTAGATGGCGAACTGACCGGCGGTGATGGAGCCGACCATGAAGAGACGGGCACCGATACCACCGTAAGAGCCACGGATACCGAGCTCCTTAGCGATCTTGATCAGACGGGTGACGGTACCCTCACCAGGAGCACCCTGGGTCTTGTTGATCTTGGAGAGCATGGTGTCGGCGGGCTGGGAGATGATGGCGGCGGCAAGACCGGCGATGAGACCGGAGCCGAGGTTGATACCGGTCTTGCCGGAGTCGGAGAGAGTCTCCTTGTTGACCTTGGAGAGGATGGCCTCGGAGACCTTCTCGAAGACGACGAACTTGGCCATGGTGTAGGGGACCCTTAACTTGAGTTAGTGGGAATGATACTAAACTTATACCAGATTGGAAAAACTTACTGCTTGAACAGGATGGGTCCGAATCCAGAGTAGAAGGCACCAATGCCCTCCTCCTTCAAGATGCGGGTCATGGCAGGGAGGAGACCGCTGGCGAAGGTGGGCTGGGAGACAAGACGGATACGGGTGGCCTCAAGAGGGCACAGGGCGATATCGGCAATGAACTCAGCGGCACCGGCGGAGGCGAGGTAGACAGCGGTGCGGTTGTTCTTGGCAGTCTCGTAGCCAAGGGCGTTGATGGACTGCTGCTTGAAGAACTCGTATCCACCGAACTTGAAGGCACCCTGGAGGAAGTAACCGGCGGCGGTAGGACCGAAACCAGTCAGGAGAGCGCCAGCACCCTCGTTCTGGATGACCTGGCGGAAACCACCGAGCATACCGCGGTTGTAGGTGACGGGGTCAAGCTGGATACGGGTCTTGACGCTGTGGAGGATCGGATATGAGCGGAAGTTCTTGATCGCGCGCTGGCGATGGTTTTAAGAGACTTACACATCGAGAGGAGTGGCAGCACCGTGGGTGATGGCGCAGCACATGGCACCAGCGAAGGCGAAGCGAGAGTACTGCGAAGTCACGAGTCAGTTTCAAAGTATGGAGGTTCTCAAGGTTCAATCAAGACTTACGAGGTTGAGAGCACTCATCTCCTCCTTGGGGGCGATAGGGGCGGCCATTTTGATGGATGTGAAATAACGCAAAGAAAAACGTTAAGAGAGGAGAGGGTGGAAGAATTGAAGCCTTTGGGGAGTGGAAGAGAAGAAGAAAGGATTTGAAAGGGATGGGGCCGAACCCGAAAACTTTTCGCGGCCAATGCGGGAGTCGCTCGGCAGCCACTAACCTCCGATCGCCCGGTCAACCAGCGTTCTATTCAGAATTCATTTTTAGATATTCAATTGTTAATTGTGGTCTCTAATTATCAATTCCCAATTGAGGTTGAGGTTGGTCATTAGACGTCATTCTAGTTGGTCATGCTAGTTGTGGTTGGACACTCCGGTGCCGGAAATAGGCGGGATGAGGAACCGTAGAGTGATGTGATAGCCGTCGCATTTCAAGCTCTGGATACTACTTCTAAGTATTGGATTTATTCGAGGATCGCATAGAATATTGAATATCAGTATTACTACAATAATAAAAAAACTGCAATATCAGACCCACGCTGAAAGATTGTCACAGCCACACCTCGCTACGTCACAGTGGACACGTAGTCTGACATGTCAAGGTGGATATTTGCGGCCATTGGGGCCTATTATCTATACTTCCATCTTAATATCAACCTTGGAACTACATGATTTATACTTATAGGTAAACTTTAGACTATTGCCTAGAAGGAAAGGATTGGTATAATTCATGATACAATCGACTTTGGTTATACTATCTGGCCTATGGAGGTATCTAAATTGGATCCAAAGCAACCTTGAAAGGCTATAGATGAAATCAGGAGGAAGAAAAGCCTATAACTAAATATACGAGTACTAAAGACTTCGGAGGCAAGAAGGTATGATAACCCTCTCACATCTATACTTTTTCGGTATATTCTCGGAGTTTCGTAAACGTCTTTCTTTGCACCCTTTTTCAAACTCTTGTCTTTAAGCCACAGCAGTTACAATAACAAAAACAAGCCAAGAAGAGCTGACGAGTAAATTGACTTCCTGGTAACAACAAAGACATTTCAGAATTGCATGTTGTGATGGCCTTAAACCCCTGCCGTAGGACCCTGGCTTAGCGCGCCCAGGACTATCAACCTACTAAAATTCTAGGTGAAGCTATGCAACCTTGGAAATCAGAACCAATAAGATCGACAGATAAAGGCCACGAGGCCACTATTGAATGAGCGATATGACCAAGTTTCACGCTGAGTGATAAGAGGCAACAAATCCCTGAAACTCAAGTCTAGAAAATTACAACACTGCCTTTTTATCATATACCAAAATCAATTCCCGATCAACCATCTCCCAAAATGGTTGCCATTCCAGATGACATTTTTGCACCTCGATTTGCTATTCTGCACGACCTGTTCAGCGACAAGGTCTCTGCACAGAAAGCCGCTGAATATTTGGCTTCAATCTCATTGGCAGACTCGGACCCAGAGAGAAGAATTAGTAGCCTATGGAGCTTGATATTCACGTGTGCATACGAATTTCCCGAGCAACATGATAAACTCATCAATATGCTAGTCCAATTGTCAAAACTCCCGGACGCGAAAGCATCAAACGGAGACCCCATTGTGCTCTACGATATGCAGGTCTGGAAAGACTTACCTATGCTTGGCTGGCAAGTCCGCGACGAATGGAATGCAAGCGTACCCACTGGACCTTCTGAGTCTCGTCAAAACGAAATCGCGCGAATTATAAACCGGGACAAATTCACCGCACGTTTGATGACAACGCAAGAACCTGTCTTTGCATACTCCTGGTTTGCATTGATTACTCTGCGCGAGGCGCTGGAAACACCAGCAAACCAATCCTCTGCGGGGAACCTAGAAGCATTGATTCCTGCTGCTGCTGCGTGGATCAGTATTCTCGGGGCAGATATCTATCAGTGGAATGAAAAGTTTGATGGCGCTCTTGGGAAAGGAGGCCCGCTCTGGAAAGGTCAACATGGGTTTTCCAAGGAGAGGTGGCAGCTTTGGAAGGAAAGGTTTGGGGAGTTAGTTACAATAGAAGCTGAGATTGGAGACGAAGTGAGAACGGCGGCAAAGGACGCAAAGCGGATGATGGAGGAGATTGAGAAGTGAGACATGGAAATTCTATCACAGCTTTGTCAATATAGAAGATCTCTAGGACCGTCAATTTAGGAATAGCATAAAGTAGTATGACATAGGTCGCTTAGCCGCAATGGTGTTCCGTGCACAAGCCACATCTCCACTGTGGACGTATATTAATATGTCACCAGCCAAGCCCGCCATTTTGAGGCATTTCCACATTGGGCGCTTCCATTAGTCATGTTACCAGGCTAGCTGCCTGTCCATGAATAATAAACCCGAGGAACCCAGTTTCCTTAGTTATTGTGGCAAGTGGTGTGATTGGCTACGTCCTTGGTTCCCACGATCGCTGTAGACGCTATGGATCTTGACACAGTGCAGCCGCGATGGCCTGACAAATAATCCCGAAGAGGCAAACATATGAAAAATTCGTCCATAACAATAGGAAGATGGATGTTAATTCAAGAATTTCTTTTATTTTCCAGAACCAGAGCATGTTGCCCAGCGAGCAGTTCTTTGAATCTTGAAATGTTACTAGCTAATGTATCCCGCACAGCAGGCTATGTCAGTATCACTCGTTAGTCCACCCAGCCCTGGCTTTTTGAGGATATAATATATTTGAGCATTGCAAAATGCTGCTATTCCTCCCCTCTACAGTACTAAGACCTGAACTGGTCCAAAATCACAGACCTCGAATAAATGCTGTCGTTCCTAAACTTCTGTTTCAAGATCCGGAGAAGGGTCCAAAAGTGGCGAGAGATGAAAGGTTCCCAAATCCCTTATCTCCATGCACTTTTTGCTATGAACTAACAATCTCGATGTTGAGTAGGAGAAGCAGTCGTGGTAGTCTTCCCCCGAACACACACACTCATGATACAGGGCTTTGAATGGCACGTGCCAGCCGACCAACGCCAGTGGCAGCGCCTCCGCAAACCATTCCCCAATCTAAAAGACATTAAAGTCGATAAAATCTAGATTCCCCCTGGATGCAAGGGGATGAACCCATCTGGAATTAGGTATGATATCTACGATCTGTATGATTTTGGGGAATTCGACTAGAAGGGCACCAGAGCGACTCGATGGGGTTCAAAGGAAGACCTCCAAAGCTTGGTACAGGCCGCACAGGACATAAATGAACACTGGCATTTACTGGGATACTGTTCTGAACCAGAACGCTGGGGCGGATTCGACCGAGAAGTTTACAGTCGTAAAAGTGGACCCGGAAGGTGATCATTTCTCTGGTAACAGAGGGAAGACGAGAGTGCATATGAAGGTAAATAACCTTGTAGATCGGAACACTGAGATATATCGACCTCTGACCATCGCTGGTTGGGTCGGGTTCGATTTTCTGGGACGTGGTGAAAAGTACAGCTCTATGAAGTATCATCGGCAATACTTTGCTGGTCTGGACTGGGACGATGCGAGCCAGCAGCATGCAATATAGAAGGCACTGGGACAGAAGAAAGACTGGGCGAGGGACGTGAGTGATGAACAAGGTAACTACGACTATCTGATGTTCGCCGATCTCGACCATTCCCATCCAGAAGTTTGGGCTGATATATTGAAATGGGGGGAGTGGATTGGCATCGAAAGTGGAATGCGAATCGATCCAGCGAAGAATTCCACAGAAAGGAAGCAAGGTTAAAAAATTATACGAGAACCTTTGTCTGGAAGTTCGAAAGGAAGAAAAAATGATAGGTAGATTCTTGATAAGAAGAAGAAGGCTCCAAACAGCCTCTCGTATACAGCTTACTAAATATCCCGGAGCAGTCCAATCTCCAGTTCACGTACTTAGATACGTTACGTTACCGAGCTGTCTACAAAAGAATAGTTGCTTGGAGCCGAGAGTATACTCGCAATAAGACCTTTGTTCAGCTGTACGAAAGCTTACCGATTATCTCATACAGGACTTTGTAAAGAGGAGGTTTGTAAGAATAACTTATAGACTTTGCTCCATCCAGACCTCGCTTGAGATATCTGCCAACTGATCAGGTGAGATTTCAATGTCATGCTCGCGCGGGACTGGTTGGCAACAACACAATTCCTCAAACTCGATTGTCAAGGCTACTGCTGGGCTGGTGGTAATCTGTGCGCCGCGGCGGGATGTCGTAATGGACTGCCGTATAGTTGGGACATAGCGGGGCCGCTGGTGTCGTAAGGAGCTGATGTCCAAAGAAACAGCCTCAAACTTGATACTAGGTGTCGTTCGATTGATAGACACGATGATTACAAGATTCACATCGCCCTTAGAGTTCGTGAGCCACCATTCTGCATCTGCCTTCAACTTTCGATAGGACTCAGAGACTCTAACTTCGACCACAACGGTCGGCCATTTTGCATCGCGACCTAGAACATGTTGCGTAGGGACCCACGACTAGTCGGTCTCCTTTAAAGAAGACACACCTCGGACTCGTTTAGACCCTACCGGGTGAATCGACCTATGCAGTCCCATATCGTGTACCATATCTCGCACTTCATAAAGCAGGCCGCGTGAAGCTGCGTCATGGGCCCCAGTCACGAGCTTTATGATCATAGATCGAGTGTCGTAACTGAACATATGTCGAGCGGAGCTCAAAGAAACCTCTTCCGTAATATTTAGTGGGACGTTTATGAAACACAGGTATTTCATCACCTTGATGGGAAGGTTCTGCTGCTCTCTTATGATCTTCCGGATAGCGCGGGCCTCCGACCCGATGGCTTCATATGTGTCATCGGGTAGTTCTTAGAAGCACTTGGCGTCGGGGGAGTCCGCGTCATCGGACATATCTGAATGCCGCGACATAGTGGTCAACATGGGCGTTTCCGAAATGGTATCGAAGTGAACAGAAAGTGCTGACATCTTTGGGGTCCGAAACTATATAGTCTTAGTAAGTATTGGATAAGGTTTGTAGTAATGAGTCATCCTTACCTTATCAATCGGATGAAGGTTGCTCGGGACCGGCAGCAGCAGATCGGGGAGGGTGCTGCTGGGGACCAGGAGGAGGGAGGGGACGGTATCCCTCCGGGGTCCGTCCAGATGATCCACTCCCAAACTAGGTGCAACGGCCGTCGTTCCCACTCCAATGATAATTTGTGCAGCCAGAGACGACCAAAGGGTCCGTCGAGCACAACACATTGGGCCCAGGGACCATGGTCCTGCAGACAAGACCTGCACTCGGTCTCCTGCACCGGTCTCCTGCACGCGACCCACAACCTGAATCATTGCAGATTCAACGTTCGAGACATTGTTCCCGATCATCTCATGCATTCGGAGTGCTGTCTAGCAGAATGATCGGATGTGCGTTGGACGAAGTATCGGTTCGCGGAGCCGTGTTTTGGTGTCCAGCACGCGCAGAAACTCGGTCTTGAGCCGGCGGCCTTTTCTAGCCCTGGCTTATGGAGCCTTCTTGATGTGCACAGCTCACGGACCTGGAGGGCATTCATTGGCACTGAGGACTGTTTTAGGGTGAGATGCCGGGGGAGCAACCTCCTGATAGCCAGGACCCGGGTCGTAGCTGTTAGGATTGTCAGTATTTGCTTCAGATGAAGAAGTGATGGACGGGTGTGATATCGTACTACTATCCTGAAGACATACTTGACTTCTGGGTACGTGAGATGGGCGTGGGAATGGGTGACAGGATGATGGACGAAGGTGGACGAGGAGCTGAAGGTCGAACAAGAAGAATGGCAGAAAGGCAAAATAAAATGAATGAGAGTGGCCAAGGTGAGGGTCTTCGCCAGTGGTTGAGAAACAATGTTATGAAGAGATCATGTTCTTGTGAGGCCACCACTTTATTTAACTCAGTGTCAAATTGTCTCAGCTGTATCAATAGCTAAATTTCATATGACAAGCGACTCAGCAGCCTTCTAATCTTTCCTTTCCCTTCGAGCACCAACCACATTCCCCTCATAGTCAAAGACAGCGTCCGAAATTTCATACACCAAGCTTGATTTGGCTAATTGGCGCTTTGCTGTTGCGTTCAGTCCTCGTATGCGTCCTATTCAACCCACGAACTGAGAATCCTCACATCAGAGCTATATAGTAAGACACATTTTGTTATAAACATCGATACGTATATCATTCAGAGAATTACACTAACGAAATACTTTATTAGATCCCAGGTTACCACAATGACATCCACAATCCGAGCAAAGCAGATTGTAGAAAGTCCGCTTCCATCCCTCCAAATCGGGCCCTATCACACGGTTTCAAGCGCACTCCAGAGTGTGTCCTTTGAGGGGACCCTTATCCCATGGAGCAATTTCCTACGATCTGTTGAGAGCGTGCACACAAACCAAAACTGGGCAAGGTCAAGGACATCACCTTATGCCAATGGCCCACATACTACCGAGGCCGATCGTGTACATATCGGGGATGAGCATGGCCTTCAGGGCCGTTTCCAACAAGCCATTGGCCAAGCATTTGGGGCGGTCCTTGAGGCCAAGTCAATCAACCTCTACTTCGCCAACTTCAAAAGCTCCGGAAGTAATTACGAAAACATCCCCGACGTTGTCGGTTTGCAAGATGTGGGTGGAAATACCAATATCAAGCTGGTTGGGGAATTAAAGACGCCTTGGGTCATCAAACATGACCTCCATTTGGCCGTTCGCCGTTTATGTGACCTGCGACAAAAGATTGCCCAACCAGTTCGGGATATGCAGAGCCTAGGCTATGAATATGGCTTCATCAGCACTTATAACCACACCATCTTCCTACGACAATTTCAGTCCCCTAGCCGGGCTTGGGAAGTGTGGTATTCCCCTCCCATATCCTCCTCCTCCTACTATACACCAACAGTCCCTAACCCCCAATCGACTCATCTCACCTTTCCCCAGGTATCAATGAAGCAATGCATGTTTTATGTCTGCACTCTAGCAAGTGCTGCCAATCCTGTTAACAACCAGACTGTGCCCTGGGTTGTTGCTATACCCTGATAAACTTTCTTGCTCATCTGATATCTGTATTCGGACCTGAATGACCAAGTAGTCCAGTGAATAGCTTTATGCTGAATAATCTGAAGGTGTTTTACGTTGATCAACAGTATAAAGGGTTACCAGTAGCGGAAAGGTACTACAATCGTCTCATTAAAAGCACTAGTCCAGTGACAAATACATGCATACTGGGGTAGCTAGGCATCATGAACAACTCAAAAATACAATCCCATATGCCAAAGGCCATTTCCACTGTCAAAAGCATCGCTCAGAGATGTACGGAGATCCACATTGGTTACCAGGTCCAGTCAGAACTATCAAGATACCAATCCAGCCTGTCAGATGGCTTTGCCAATCCCCATAACGCGTAGGTCTCGTCTGAGAATGGCTCAGTGTCCATTGGATAGGCTCCTCGGAATCCGGAAATGTGCCTAAAAGCAATTAGCTCATCGCCATCGGCATTCATAGATTGGTAAGGTGAATGAAATGCCAGAACTACCTACATAGTCTTGGTGACATCATCGTAGACGAGCTTGCTCGGAGGGGTAAGTCTAGGTTGCCAAGAACACCTACTGAGTTCTCTTCGTTGTATTAGTATAGGTAGTTCTTTAAGGGGTGGACGTATAGGGGTTATGATCTTACTCATAGGCGGTACAAAAGGCGTAACGCAGTTGCCGGCGGTATTCAAAGTCGCGTTTCCAGAAAGAATAGTAGTCTACGGGTTCACCAGTTACCCGTGCCCACGCAACGTAGTTGATGTAGCCACCAGGCACGAATTCTTCAGTGCCTTGCAACCCTTCCCCGTAGCCAAGCAATTTCGGTACTGCCGTACAGTTTTCGCGATCTAGAGTCGCAAGCGCTTTGAGCTCCGTGTGGGTGCGCTGGCTGATGGCCTGCTGGGCTCGGACTTCCGGAGCGCCAGAAAAGGTACCATCAATAGGTATCTGCAAGTAGATACGCATGAAGCCCTGCTGACCAGGGTCCAGAAGGTTGTGACAAGAAAACTTAATGACGGCAAACGGAGGCCCCAACCCTTGATCATATATCCGCTGAGTCATCGTTTGGTAGTCTTCGGATATCTTTTCGTCGAGGACGAACGTGCGAGGGGGCGAAAGGGAAGGCTGGTCGAGTGTAATTTCAGTACCACACAGGTGGTCAAAGTCAAGAAACCGGGGCATCATGATGAGGAAAGGAGATGAAGGGTTGGGCAGCTTCAAGATTCTGAAGAAATGAAAACGCTTTGATGAAGTTGATAGACAGGTGAATTGTAAAAGTCAGGTGCTGAGCAGAGGGAAATGGAGGGTGTGGAGGAGACAACGCGACTATTATGGATCCTAATGTCCTGGGTGTTAACCGTGGAACACTAACATATAATTCTCAATTTCTCCAGCTTCAACCTATCAAGCCCACACAAACGTTTTAGACGCAACTTTTACCCAACTTTTACCAACCAACCGGACTGGAGTGGAATCGATCAACATGTCTCCACAATACTCCGGAGCTGATCTACTCATACGGAGTTCATCGCGTGTGTGAGGTCTCAATTTGTCCACGGGTACCTAGGTAGGCAGCCCACCTAAATAAGAAAGTCTGGGGCTTCGCGGGGTGCGCTGTCATCAACACGGGTGATATCTGTCTGCAAACCAGGTGAAACCAGCGAGCAGGTTGTTCAGTAGCGGAAGATAGGAAAAGGAAACCCAGGGGTAGTTTGTTAAAGGAAGATTGGTTCAGCTTAGTTAGCTTATGCCGCCATTTCTTACAAGTAGTTTCTGATAAATCAATTTACTTCGACATGGCAGTTGCCTCTTCCTTATAATATCCTTAAGAAGTTCGAAAGTTCCTCAACCATGCCCATTCCGGAAGCTCACGAGAAAGGAATTCGGGGAATGTTGATGGGGTAAACGGCCACTTCAAAATCGAACACTTATAACGTCATCTTTACGGCTACAAAATAAGTTGGCAATATCATATATACCTACAAACGTAAGGCATCAATGTTGAGAATACTTACGGCTTGATTGACACAATAAAAAAAAAGGTTCACGAGAGTGGCCTTTAGCTTCAGGGTCGTAAGAACCGGTCTGAAAACTATAGGTACCACCTTGCCTATTGATTCATATGCCTCTTTTTATATGTAGAACTATCTCAGTTAACAATATACAGAAAGTCGATGAAGCATCTGGGGAAGATGGGTAGTAAGGCCGATAGCAAACCAGAATATATCAGAATACCTTCTCGGTGATTTCAAGAAAATCATTGGCGTTGATAAGGATATCATGTTCCCCTAGTCCTGGGAGTCGGTCGTAAATAGCAACGAATGGAATCCTTAACGGGACCCCGACAACACTGTTGGGCTCGACGTGGACCATCTGCACTGAGTATGCTTGCTGGGTGGGAATCGGTTGAATGGTAAGTGGAGGGATATTGAGAGATTGTACGCGGAGTTGATCAGGCCCCACGGGCCCCGCTTTCCCGAAACCCCCCAGTTGGGCCCCTGGCAGACCTGTACCCGAAGCTGGAGAGTGGGCAAACTATATCCAACGTCTCCTATGGGGAGTCGCGAAAGAGGGCGACTTAGTCAAATCCCTACTCATTCGATACATCCTCTAGATGAAGAGACTTCGCGAGCCCGTCGTCCGCCCGACTATGGCGATGACTAGCGAAAGGTGGAACGAGGAAATCGGCGGTCGTATCGAGAATATAGAGGCTCTCTCCATCCACCACTCGCCATCTGCTTAGTGCGAATCTGATCAACTTCAAATCTAGCACAAACGATAGCTTCATTCTCGACTAAATTATTTCTAGAAAACCCACCTTAAGAGATTATTAACATGATAGTGCTTTATATTTTGTTTCGCTGTAGCGACGAGTGCCTGTCAATAGAGTCTTGAGTGGTGATATTACGGCATTATAGGTAGTGGTTTGGTTTGGTAAAGAGCTGAGGCTCTATTATTCCCAGCGAGCAAGACCTGAGTGCTGACTGAGCATACTCTGAGCGCTCACTGAGCAAACCTGAGTGCTCACGAAGCAATCACCCTGTACTGTGAAATACTCAGTGAGCAGGACCCTGAGCGCTCTCATAAAGCGGCTGCACCCCGATCGGGAAATTCATATCCGCGGCCTAAAATCTGGTACATACAGGTACATATGTAAATAACAGTATTTTATCAAGATAATCAAGCAGTTTTATCGACCTTAATCAGGCTTAGCGCTGGAAATTTAATCATTCGAGGGTCGGATAATAATAGAGCACCGAGTCCAAATGCAAGGACGGAATTATTTCGACAAGAGAGATTTTATGAAGGGAAGGACACTACCGTAAAGGTATGGATGAAAACTAAATATTCCAGTAAAATAAGGAACCAAACTACAACTTACGTTCTAACCGTGCCAAGCGCCCAACGCAGAATTTTGCCAACACCACGGATGTGGTGTCGGGCGCTTGGGATCATTAGAGCATTTTCACTATTTATAGGAAAGTGGAATGGGATGCGATACCTGGGCAGAGATCTCCGCCTTGGCTTACGCATCCTAAACTAAACTATACCACATCAAGGAAATGATGTTTTATGGATAGCGAATGTACTCCATAGTGGAAACTAGATCAACTTATATGGTGCCTGGGAGCAGTTGCCGCTTTTGGTCAAAGTCCAACATCCAGGGCTGTCTCATGTTTGGGTCAATGGCAATGGTGTCACTACCTTGGGGAAGATCAAGATATATAAAGGACATGGGTCCAGTTCATTTCCTACATATTCATCTCATATTTTGGCTTTCATGAACATCTCTCAATTTTAACTTCGATATGCGAGTCCAAGCCCTAGAACTTGGCGTCTTAGCCAATCTTGCCATCTCGGTATGCGCCTTTGCCGTAGGCCGTAACTCCTTCCAGGTTAGCGGCCCGGTTGCTTCTACCTCGGCGCCTCCTTCGTCTTCCCCTACCGGAGATGCTTGGAAGACCAAGCAATGCTCCCAGATCCATGGTAGCCCTGCGGATCAATGGCAGCAGGCAGGTGCAAAATCTGCCTGGGATGCCACCATTGCAGCCTGGACGAGCACGCCGGGCGATAATAGCTTCCCCCTGTTCGTCAGCAATCATACCGATGGGCCTGATGGCATGAGATGTAGCGACATGTCGTCCGAAAACCGTTGCGCCCAACCTGTGCAGTGCGAAGATGCGATCCCAGCCGTGTAAGTCAAATCATCTGTTCCCTACCACCTACTATACAGCATCTCTAACAACGAGGTAGTGCTATGATTCTAAATGGATTTACGGGTATCCATCAAGTATGTCACTAACCTATTCATAGATTGGCCATTCCTTTAGTTTAAATGTGCTAATTACTTGTCTAGCTTCACGCATCGGTTTTCCAGGCTATCGGGCTCGCCCAGGCTAGTGTGACGAACAACGTTGGCACGTTCACATCTGCATTCGCCCCTCAGCGTAAAGATGACTCGGCCAACATAAAGATGATTATCGATGCTGCAATGTTAGTTGTCAGCTTTGGCACATCTATGCTATATAACGTCGGTATGTTACTCCTTCTAGCATCTAAAGTGAATACTGAGATTGTATGAGATCTAACATCTACTAGTCCTCCAAAGCGCGGTGAATGTAATCGGTAAAGCCATTGCCCAGGATATGACAGGTGCTATTCTCGCTACCTCCGTTACCTACTATAAGACGAATATGAAAGGGTACTTCTCCCCCCCTCCCCCCACTTGGATACACCCTAGCCTAACGAATTGATAGCGCGTTAGAAGGACTAGCAGAGCAGAACACCATCGATACTTTTGTGGGCAAGACAATGGACGAGTGGAAGAATGCGGAGACATCCTATCTTAGGTCAATTTTTGCCGGGGGCGACCCGAGTGCTATCGACGCTCTCTACGCCACAATCAACAATGGTACTATAGCCGCAGCTATGGATAGGCTTGACCTTACCCGCACGAGCACCGACGTCGAAAAGATCCTCTACGGTCAGATGATCTCGTACGCATGGACTGTTAGTGGGGACAGAGCGCGCCCCTTTATCTGGTAAGTTAGTTCAATAAATCTGCTTTCTTCTAGCTGTGAAACAGGCTAACTCGTACTGGCTGAAGGCGGAGCTCAGAGTACTGCGATGAAACCACCATGCCTCTCTCTAGGGGCGGCTTTGTTGAAAGATCATCATTGAGCAAGATATATGTGTGCCATAACAACAGGATGCATTTGCTGTTGAATGCTCATAAACGTAAAGGGACGGGCTTTTCTTCCGACATTCTTCCAGGTGGAGAGCATGATACTCTGAACGGAAAGGACTATGGTGGAATTACGATTGATGACATCGTCATCAGCAGCGTGGACGGATGGAGCAAAAATAATTATCAAAATGGGTATCCAAAGGCTGATGTTGATAGTGTCGTGGCCAGCTTTGGCGGGGATAACGCCCCTAGTGTCCGAAGCGCTGGATTCTTCAATTTGCCAATTTGTCTCAATTCCAACACAGCTGAGGAAAACATAAGAAATGGTTGGAATAAAGAGTCACCTTATTGGCCTTGTGAAAACCCTGAAGGATACACCAGCACTGGTACCAATATTGTAAGTTTGCTGAAAGGGCCCCCTATCACTCCGATCCGTGACTAATTCAGATAACAGCGTGTTAAAAAGGGTTGTGTTCTGTTCAATGACGCAAAGCGCTGCCAGAATTGGGGTGGACCCTATAGTGAGTCGTATCACTGTTATTCATCAAAGAGTAGCTATGCTAACAGTCCATAGACGTCGCAGATCAGAACACTCCCAACAGCACCGTCACTATATACGCCATGTTCAAAGGTACAAGTGAAAAGCTTGTTGACAAAGAGGTTCCTGGTTGCAAGCTCGTGGGATCATGGCCTCGCGACTGGTCTGAAATGCACTTCAGCGAAGACAATTGTCTCGAGGATGAGAACAAGTATTACAGACAGTGCTGCGGCGAGGACACGAAGACTACCGATCTTGTCAACAATCCATATGGCCCTTCATGGTAATTGGGTAGAATTCGGATCCATCTCCAGGATCATGGGACAGTTGGAATTCAATCAACATTTGATTCCGTCACTGTTTTACGTATCCAAGTACCAATCGTCCCTATGGCGATCATTGTGGTTAGTGCCCTAGACGCTGAAATTAAAGTTCGGAAGTTTATCTTTCCAATACAATTCTCTTCCTCCTCCTTTTCTGGACGTACACTGTAGCCCCAACGCGTTGTGAATACTGGTACTCACGAATTGAAACCTAGTTATTGAAAACGCTGTTGTGTCGTATGACGGGGTTACCGATAGCGTTGGAAACTGCATTGGCTGTAGCGGGGGTGTCAGCTAGAGCGCTGACCGCATTGGCTGATTAGCGTTGGCGGGGTTTGAAATAGCATTGTTCTGCAGTGTGCACTGTCTTACGCTGATGGTAAGTACAGAATGGCTTCTTGTGTTGAGTGTTGTTGCCGGAGGCACTACCTTATCGGAGAGCGTTTGTGTTATAAGCACATCGTCGAAAGGGTAGCTGGGATGACTAGCGAGACGTAGATTCTCTGAGATGACGAAGTTGGAGAACCCGGGGATTAGAACGGACTTGTTTGACTCGGTGTCGGAATGGCGAAGGCTGTTGAGCCACTTATGAGTGCTGGAATTGTTGCTAACGACTGTAAGGAAGAGGAAGTATTGTGCTGAAGTAGGGATATGTGATTGACCACACGCCTCGGTGAATTCGGCGCAGTAGTGTGCCACGTAATCACAAATTGATCCATATGGGGTGACTATCGTGCCGTCAGCCTGATTGTATTTGAAGCTGACACACTTGTGGAACATATCGAAGCTGGTGCTGTCGGTGTGAACTGATAAGGTCTTGTGGAGACTCTGGTACACCACGAAAGCGTTAAGGGCCGTGTTAATGTACGGCTTGAGAGAAACCCCTCCCCTTCACACTCTCATAGATAGATCTCGGAGGCTGCGTGTGGGTTACATCCTCTCGTGCGGTTGTTCGTGGCGTTTTGGAGACGATCGATGTTTGACGTCAGGTTAGCAGCTCATTGCCCGAATGCAAATAAATTAGCTCGGTGTTGTCAGCGCGTTCATCATGGTACTCCTGAGGTGGCCAATCTGCTGCTGGAACGACTAGCTTTCGCTAACCACATGTCAATTCGAGAGCCTTCCATGATAATCCGGAAATGAATAATCAAGTAATAGGGAAATTATTAGGTTCGCAACAGGGTAATCGCTTTCATATTTTGACGGCATCTATCTAACGCCTACGAAGATAAATCTAGTAACGTCGTAGTTAACGTCGGAATAAGCGGGAAGAACGTCTTCTTCTAGTGGCCGGATACACGCTGAATCTCCCCTAAGCCGAGTTCTACCCACTCCTAGCTTACTCGATTTATCATCGACCCTAGATCTAAAGAGCTTAACTTAACGAACTTAACAATACTCTAGAACGAGAACTCAGAGGTCTACCGCATTAATCACCACTTTGCCACCTAACCGTATAAGCACTGCTTCTTTAACCTAATGAACCCTGCCCTCGGAACTAATTTTCCGACCATTATGTCTCAGCTGGGTGGTGGATACGCGCTTTATAACGCTTTGGCGCACTTAAATATTGAAACTGAAGTGACAGAGGTCTACTTCCCTGGAAAGACACATGTAGTCCAACAGCTAATTTTCATTCCACGGCGCGGATCTACCGTTAAGGGCGATGGCCTGGTGAATAATTATGTTTCTATGTGCAGCGAGTTACACTTACTGGATACCAAGGAGTTCACTAAGGTCAAGGTGGTCATTCTGCTGCCGCTTCGGTTGAGACAGGGACTGCATGGCAATTGGGTTGAAGCCAAGGATCTGCAGGTTGGGGCTTAGGATGGCGAGGAACATTTACATGATTAACACATATTATGGTCATATTGATTTTTTGTGTTGAAACCGGATTGATAATTTATGTTTCTTTACTCAATTTGAGAGAAACGGAAAACCCGATGAAAAACGTGGGCTCCACTTCGAAAAGAAGTCTCTACCGGGATCCCTAGAAGTTTCACAGCCCAAATACTTCAATGATCGGTTTGTATACAATAGAGCAAGGTTGTGCTATATTTGCATATAGAGACATAATGATGGTTTTACAGTTCGTCCAAGGTGTATACCGGGAAGTGGTGTGGGAGCAACGCAGGTAAAAAAATCAGAGGGCATAGATTCAGTTGGCCAAGGCGCGTGAAGTCAAATGGGTGTGTTTATAAGATGGGCAGTACTCAGAAATACCCCCACAGCATGTCACGCACGCATGAAGGTCATTTATAGGCGCGCTCTGTATAGAACAACGGGAGCAAAGAAAAAGTATTTTGGCTGGTTCCAGGGATAATCAGAACCTGCTTGGGGCTTGGTGGTTTTCTTATTATTATAGTATGCATACCCTAGTTTTCATGTGTTTCATTAGTACTAACTACGCACAGCTTTCAACTCGCGATTACCGCTTAAGGGCTCGAATTGCCTTCTTCCCTAACGCATGCCTTGCTTTTAGTTGGACTTGATTCAGTCTATCTTCCTCCTTACTGGCAAGCCACTTTCATAAATAAATCCTGTTAGTTATGGCAAGTTTGAGCTGTTGGGAAGATACTTTAGAGTATATGACAGATGAGCACAAGCTTTTTGAATCCCTTTGACTATATTCACGAACACGCTGTTGTAATTTACCCATAACGCAAGGATAGGCGATACTCGTGTAGTATGAAAGGATACGGTATAACTAGAACATAGATGGAAAACATAAATGAACTCGTTCTTCGCCAGAGGAATGGGGAGGGGTTTCGTTCAAGAAGCAAAAATATATAATCGTTTTTAAACCTTTACAACTTTGGGACGTAACGTAACTTTAGTGAATGCATGATAAGAGCTGAGAACAACGTGGCAGAGTTTCTTTCTCTGCATTGAAATGCTGCGCCTACCCACTCTCAAGTCTGATTTGATTCCGGTTCCTCATTTGCCCTGGCACTTGGATTTTCTATACGCAGCGCCACTTTTCCGGTTTGATCGAGGGGTAGGTCAGAGAAGGTACAGCACTTTTGCCGTTGATCAATAAGAATATTGTTCCAACGAATACATGTGCAAAGGGGAAATATTAATCATACGACCCGGACGATAACCAAGGCCCTAACAGACTATCATAGCACCATTTTTCAAACCCTCGCATACTCTTTAATGCTTCTTCGAAGTCAAGGGCAGCCATGCAATTTTTCACGGAGATCTCTATGGAATCAACGGTGGACCTGAGCCCCAGCCTGGGCCATGCAGTAGAACACTTTACACGTGCTCGAAAGCTACATGCACACGGGAAACAGCCGGATAGACACTCATTTATATTGAGCTTTAATACTTGTGCTTGTTGAAAGTCAGGTTATGATACATTCCAATCTGGATTGAGCAGGATTCTAAGAATTTTTGATAGATCTATAGATGTCTATGGGTTATATTGATCTTTTTATCAGGTACTGTTGTGTCAACAACCTCGACTATTCAACCAATCAAAATATTGAATGTGGGGCAGGTGCGCCCCGACGTCGGGCTTACCAAACGGGCTTACCAAATTCCCAGCTTGACAAAAACATTCAACGCCCAGACAATACTCAATCTATTTCCAAAGAATATTGTCCAGTTGGCTTTTTTTTGGCTGCAGGAGACTCTTCTAGATTTCTGTTCTCATGACTTGTGGGATGTCAGGGTAGATCGGCCAGAAAGCCGAACCCATCAGCACGCAACCGGAAATGATACGGGGAAATTTTAGCTTAGCCGACATCAGCCCAACATCCGAAAAATGAGTTGCCCAAGGGTAACAAATCAAAAGAGACACCATACCCCTGAAACGGCGTCGTTTGATTCCTCTACAACATATGTGGAGCGGTTTCGGATCCACCCTCCGAGAACAAAAAAAAAGTTGAACCCACGCTGTGTGGAATACCCGTTCCCGTTGTCTCCAGCATTGGCGTCCCCGCTGCAGGGAGCTTCCTCCTAGTAATCGGCTCTAGCTCGAACAGGTCAACTACGCCACGCAAATTACGCATATCATGGGAACAACTGCCCGTCAGCCCAAACCGAGCTTGCCCCATTCGTCTTGACTTACATGACAGGGAAAGCTATCTGACGCAATTGATAATGCAGGACCAATCGATTGATCGGCAGGGTCTTCGCGCCTCGTCACGCATGGAAGACTTCAATGTCCAAATGACTAGACGCATGCGGTCGAGATATTTGCTTCAAAATTTATATGTGTGGGCTTGGATTGCCTTTGTAGTTTCGCAAGCGGCATGTTTTGGTCTATGAAGAGTTGGAAAAATCGGCCTTCTATGCGAGATTCCATGTGATATTTCATACAGTCACATTTTTAGTTGCCACTTTAGCAATTCGCAGCATCTTAGCTACCGTTTTTTTTCGCCCAAACAGCTGGGGAGAAGCCGTCCTACCCGAGCCAGGGATATTGATCAACACCACCAAATGCCTAATTTGACAGGGAAGGCTAGACTTCTGGCCGTATTTTTCAAACTGGACTCGCGTACATACTCGATTTGTCAAAGCTAGGGCGTACCATCAGAGGTTGTTATTGATGTGGAGTTGAATCCACATTAAATAAGATTTATTTGTATGAGTCAAACATCCACTGGCACTCTGTGAGCGCGGTTTTTTTTCTCTTTCAATTTCTTGAACCTTTCATAACTGTTGCCTCCCGCCTGGATCTTCATATAGCGTACAAACTGTCTATTTTGTCGAGCCAAGGTCTTCAAGATGTCGGACCATGTTGCTGCCGAGGAAAATATAGAGAAGGTCATATCAGCAACAGGTCAGTCGCCTATTTTCTTTGTCAATGCATTCTATGTTGTATATTAGGAGTTCAAAGTACTGAAACTGCTGTATAGAACATGTAATGTCTTCCTCTCATGAGTCACAGCACTCCCATGACTCTGAAGATCGAGACTCGGAAGTCAACCATGAGCCTATCCAAGAACGCTATGGAAACCCTTCGTACTCTAGATTCCGTCAAGTGGCCTCCAAAACGATTGTGTCGTTTGGGCCCAATGACCCAAAAAACCCTGTCAACTGGAGAACGGTATGTGGGATAGTGTCCAGTACAATGAAGCAATGCGAGGAAAATAATACTAATGCGTCCAACAGAGGAGGAAGTTCCTTGTTCTCGCATCTGGTGTCATGCAGGTCATGAACAGCACTATCGGCTCGTCAATTTGCAGCAATGCCATCCCCCAAATCGCCGAAGAATTCGACATTACCAACGAAACAATCCTTGTCTTGCCAATTTCCATCTTTCTCATCGGCTACATTTTAGGACCATTGCTATGGGGTCCTAGCTCCGAGTATTTCGGCCGGAAGAAACCTTTGCTCATCGCTTATGGTTTATTCATGATATTCACGCTGGCGTGCGCTGTTGCAGATTCATATGCATCTCTGCTTGTCTTCCGATTATTCAATGGCATGGTTGCGTCGGCGCCTATCGCTACTGTCGGCGGATTGTTTGCCGACGTCCATGACGATCCAACATTGCGAGGCCGCCTTATGGCTTATTTTATGGCTGTAAGCTTGACGCATACGTTCAACTGGAGTTTCTGGGTCCGACAGCTAATTTGTTAACAGTGCACAACGTTCGGGCCAATCATTGGACCTTGGCTATCCGGCTTCGTGGCAGTTGTCAGTTGGCGTTGGTGCTTTTGGATTGGACTCATTCTGGCAGGCGCTAGCTTGCCGTTGGTTATCTTCATGCCTGAAACTTATGCCCCGGTCATTCTTAAGCGTCGTGCACACAAGCTACGCAAAGACACCGGCAATTCAAACATTGTATCGCCATTGGATGTTCAGAGTCGTAATCTGCGAGAAATGCTTATTATCACGATCTCACGACCCTTCCGCATGATTATTCACGAGTATATCGTTTCCCTGACTTCGTTGTATCTTGCTTTGGCATATGCAATCTTCTACCTCTACTTTGAGGCATATCCAATTATCTTCCAAGGTTGGTGACCTATCCCAGCTAGCCTATGCAAAACCCCGTTGGAGAAAGACACTAACGAACACCGTGCAGGCATCTACAAAATGAGCCCTGGTGTGTCTGGCTTGATGTTTCTACCTAGTAAGTTCATCCATACGCCCATGTCTCTCAACCGGAAAGGTGTTGATTCTAACATTTAAATAGTCGGCATCGGCGCCGTCCTTGCGTGTGTCGTCTTCATATGGTACGATGGCTACCTAGCCCGAGCAAAGGCCCACAACGCCAGTTGGGCCTTCATCGAGGAATATCGCAGACTTCCCCTCGCCTGCATCGGCGGACCCTTATATGTGATCTCCCTTTTCTGGGTAGGCTGGACAGCCTCACCAAACATCCATTGGGTCGTACCATTCCTCTCTGGCATCCCATTTGGAATGGGCTACCTGTTAATCTTCATGGCTATGTTGAACTACCTGACTGACGCCTATGAGACCCTCTCCGCCAGCGCACAATCCGCGGCAAGTTGCACACGAAGTATCCTGGGAGCTGTCCTCCCGCTAGCAGCTAAGCCGATGTTCAACCGGCTCGGCGTGCCCTGGGCTTGCAGTTTGATCGCCTTCCTCAGTTTGGGTGTCTCGGTGATTCCGTTTGCTTTTATTCGCTACGGTGACAGTATCAGAGCAAACAGCAAGTTCTGCCAGGAGCTCAAGCGTGCCAAAGAAGCTGAAAAGTTGGAGTTGGAGAGAGAGGAGCATTTTGCGAATGGTGATGATACCCTCGCACCTATCCCGTCCCGCAATACTGGAGTTTCGATGACGAGGATCGATACTGCTCGCACGGATAGAGCGTCAATTATTTGCTGAAGATGGTGATTGCGTCC